CCTGAGGGTGGGGGGAGAGCGTGTGGGAGTGAATGAGACCTTTGCTTCTACAAGATTTGACTTTTCCACAAGTCAAAACCCTTTCCCTCCTCTTTCGCTTTCCCAGGGAAAGGTGGCCTTGAACCCATTCTTGTGCCATCTCGGACGCTAGATTACCAGGACATCTCTCTCTCTCTCCTGGTTGGCGTGGCAATGTTGGGCGGAGTGTGTGTGTGACGTAGGCTTGGGGGGCTGGATGGGACCTGCTTGTCTTTCCTATAATAAGACTGTACCCGCCAAAAGTCTTTAGTTCTGACACGGCAATTTCTGAATCCTGCATATGCTCTAATTAACTTATCACTGCCAAAGTGAGAGTTATTGAATATAACTGGACCGGGGTCTGACACCTAGCAACTTTGGCAACCTGGGCTTCCAATGACAAGGTGGCACCCTGAGTTATGCTCAGACTCCCGATGGTCGATGCCAATGACAGGGGCAGCCCATCAAGAGTTGGGAGTTGACAACCCAACCATGCCCACCCCCCGCAGCCAAAGAACCTTTGCCTTACCCGGATTCAGTTTCAGCCGGCTCTGCTTTAACCACCCAACCATGGCCTCCAAACCCTTGGCTAGATTCATGGGAGCAGCATCCAGCCGGCCGCCCATCAACAGAAATAGCTGGGTGTTAGAATCATGTCCTTAGAATCACAGAGTTGTAAGGGACCTCCAGGGTCATCTAGTCCAACCCCCTGCACGAGGGCAGGAAACCCACAACTACCCCCTCCCCCTCCCCACACCCACAGTGCTGTGCCACCCCCTGAGGCCGACTCACCTGGGGTCGGAAATCACTGTGGTTAAGGCCTGATAGAAACCGTCTTCAGTAACACTGCTCCAGTCAATGAGGACTCCCATCCCTTTCGCTTGAATGCGTGTCATGATGTCAAACTGGTCCCCATAGAAAGGGAACCCCACCACGGGCACTCCGTGGTAGATGGCCTCATAGATGCTGTTCATGCCACAGTGACTGACCAGGGCTGCCACATGGGGGTGTCCTGCAGGGAACCAAGCAATGTCGAGGGTCATGCTCACAGGAGTTATTTTATGAACACCATAACACTACGAAGCAGCAGGCTTAAGCATTGCATGTTTAGGCCTCTACCTATCTCTGCCATTCCCAGTATGCCAGTCAGCGGTGCCAGGGTGCCCACTAATGTGTTTCCTGGCACCTGCCCGCTTGTCAAGCACTGGGAATGCCATCCCAAAGGGTCTTCAGTGGAACCGAAAACACAGGAAGTTTCAGGTGCACAGTTCACTCCTGGGCTTTGAAATGTCATCTAGTTGTGGCACAGGGAGCAAACCCCAATCCTTTTTTTGGAAACTGCACTGCATCTCTTCCCCAATGCTAAGAACCAGCCCTAGATCACCTTGGTAGTTCAGAAGAACCCTGGAAGTGTTGCCTTTGCATCTGCAGGGAACACCCAACTGGAAACAGCTGTCTCCATCTTGGGATGAGGCTTGGCTTGGATCCTCCTGGTTTTTTGTGGGACTCTGTATGGCTGTGAGTGGCCTTTCGTCCTTTTGGACTGGCTCCATCCGATCCTATCATCCTTGCTCAAAATTACAAAAACACCTCCAGGCCCAACAAGACCAGGGACTTCCACTTTAGCGAAGTATGCTTGCATGCATGGAAAGCTCCTCATTAGCCCTCCCTGCTGTTGGCAGATGGGAAGCCATTTGCTCCGGCACCCAGATTGTCTCCTGACAGCAACCAAATTGCCCATAGCTGCTGGAAGTACCAGCATCTCTAGGATTCTATTTTGCACTGTTGTAACTTTGTTCAGTACTCTAATAGCCCAACCCAGCCTTATCTCGGCAGAGCTGGAAAGCTAAGCAGAGTCAGGCCATGGTTTGAACTTTGATGGGAAACCACCCAGGAATACCGTGATGGCGAAGGCAAACCACTTTTGTTCGTCTCTTGCCTTGAACACCCTGTGGTGCTGCGGTCACCATGAGTTGATTGAGACTTGGTGGAACACAATTGTTACTACTGTTATTAACTTAGGTTCAGTTAGCTGCCTTCAAATCAATGCCAACGGCCGTATTAGCTGGCCGCTATAGTAGAACACCTAAGGAACAGCGCTTATGTATTTGTGGCTCTCCCGTTATTGAGGATCTTTCCCATTACATCCTTGATTGCTCATTGTATATCCAACCTAGGCTAAAATTTCTCTCTGGTGTTTTATCTGTTTTAAGCTTTTATTCAAACCCTGAGAAGATTGTATTTTTGTTAGCTGATTTCAATGTTAATATATCCTATAGTATGGCTCTATTTGCCTTGGCTGCAAAGAAAATACGGGCCAACGTTGTTTCCAGGGGTACTAGTTAATATTTATCTTAGTGGGTATGCTGTGATTTAATTAACCGTTCATAACTTCGGTTTTATGGTTTTATAATATTTTAGATTGTACTCTATTTTACATAATTATCTATGTTTTATAGTATTTTTCTCTGGTTTTGGATTGTAATGGCCTATGGCTAAATACAATAAAACCCTCCTATTCTATTCAAGTTAGCTGCCTTGAGAATGTGAATGAAAAAGTGAGATGCAAATTAAATAAACCAAAGCTTTGCGTTAGTGAGAAGTAGCTAGCTCTCCATTCTATCTGATCAAAAGTATGCTGGAGTAGCGTGGAGGCTAAGGGCCTTCTGACAAATTGGGAGGAGGAGTGAACACATCGGAAGATAAGAGATAGATTTCAACGAGATCTAACACGCTGGAAAAGTGGGTAGATGTGAATAAGATGAAATTCAACAGGGATAAGTGCAGAGTTCTACACATGGATAACAAAAATGAGAAGCATGCATACTGGATCGGGGATACACTTCTGGGTAGCGGTGTGTATGAACATCATCTTGGGGTATGGGTGGACTGTAAGAGGAGTAATGAGCAGCCAATGTGATGCAGCAGCAAAAAAAAGGCTAATGGAGGCTTGGGGTGTATCAACAGAGGCATAACATCCAAATTGCAAGATGTCATAGGGTTAGGGTTAGGGTGTTGAATGTCATAAGATTCAGGATGTGAGATCATGCTAATCTAAGTGACAGTTGTTTGACAGTCAGGAGAACTTGCTCAAACCGGTTCTGACTGGAGCTAAGCTGAGCAACCTTAGAGTGACTCAGCAGTGAGCTGATTGGCTGGTCTATGTATATAAGTGTGTGTAGCCTGTACAGTCTTGTCCTTCTACTTATATGAGCGTAGGGCGAAGCACTTTGTCCGAGAGCTGTAAATATATTGTAAATAAATCACTGTATATAGTTTACCACAAGGACTGTGAGTGTGGTTTACTGCAGTGGAATCTTAGCAGGGTGCAAATTGGATCTTTGGTGGAAGGCTGATCCGGTAACGCTGACTGCGCGACACGCCTGCGCGACATAGGGTACACCCAGAGGTCATTTCGGGGGGGATCGCGGGGGATCGCAGTTCCCCTGGGTGAGGTACGGGGGGCGAGGCACATGACGAAGCCCTGCCCCCTGCTTCCGGCCGCCCCGCTTCCGGCCCTCATTCAGCCAGGAGGAGGCAGGAAAAGAGGGAGGGTAAGTTGCTTCCTCCCTGCCTCTCCCCACCCCTGCCTGCCTGGGGCCAGGGAGGGCCTTCGCGGGGCTTCCTTGCACTCCCGTTTTTCTACGAAACGACCCCTGGGTACACCGCATTGGTCAGCCGGCCCCTGGAGTCCTGTGTGCAGTTCAGGAGGCCTCACTTCTAAATGGATGCAGACAAAATGGAGCAGGTGCATAAGAGAGCGACAAGGGTGATCAGGGGCCTGGAGACCAAGCAGCCCTACGAGGAAAGGCTGAGGGACTTCTTGGGACTGTTCAGTCTGGAGAAGAGGAGGCTGAGGGGGGACATGACCGCTCTCTTGAAATATGTGAAAGGCGAAGCTGCTCCTGTTGGCAGCAGAGGATAGGACTGGCAATAATGTGTTTACATTATGGGTGGAAAGATACCAGCTGGAGATTAGGAATTTTTCCCCCACAGGCAGAGTAGTTCTTCAGTGGAATCGGCTTCCGAGGTGAGCTCCCCCTCAGTGTCAGTCTTCAAGCAGCGGCTGGACAAACACTTGTCAGGATAGACTGGGTGCCCCCTTCCAGCTCTATGAGTCTGTGAAGACCCCTGCTGGGTCAGACTAATGGTCTAGTGAGTCCACTGACCTGTCTTCCACAGTGCCCAGTCAGGAGCCCCCGATGACAACTCCCACCAGAGGTCAAAGCCTCCTCCTGCTCTGCTGTCCCTCAACAACTGGCATTCTGCCTTGGAACTCAGAGGTGGTCCCATTCAGCCCATCCACTTCATCTGGGTGTCTGAGAGTTCTGGTATTTATTCACAACGTTTATATGCCACCTCTCCACCCCAAATAGGGTCCCCAAGACAGAGCCTCTGCTTGAAAACCTCCAAAGAAAGAGAGCCCACCACCTCCCGAGGAAGCCTGTCCCACTGAGGAAACACTCTGTCAGGAAACTGAAAACTCTTAGCTGAAAACTCTTCTGATTTAATTTCAACCCACTGGTTCTGGTACAACCTTCTGGGGCAACAGAATACCCACTCCGCACCACCCTCTATATGACAGCCAGGCATTTAAATCCTCCCCCCAGTCTCTCCGCAAAAGTGGAGAGGCTCAGGGGGAAAGGAGGGCATGTCTGCCCTCCTCCCCTCCCTTCTCGCAGCGGGCTGGCTGGAGAAGGAAGGGGAGGTGGGCAGACATGTCTGGCTTCCCTGCCAGATCTTCTCCAGGTGCCCCACAGCTGTGGGGCACATGGAGAAGATCGGGCTGGGAAGCCAGGCATTTAACCCCCCCTTACTGCCGGAGCACAGCTCCGGGGCGCTCCAGCAGGAAATGACCCCTGGTGGTGTCCAAAACTGAACACAATATTATAGGTGAGATCTAACCAAAGCAGAGTAAAAGGAAGAGAAGGGAGCGTAGCCTTAGAAACTCTAACAAGAACAAACAGAAAAAAGAACAGACACTGCAGACTTTGAGAAACTTCCTTCCCTGAACCCTCAGCTGTACACGTTCATGCTTTCAAGTAGTACATTTGATCACTGAATAGGGACGACGGCTTTCTTGCCCTGCACAAAGCCACACCATTCTTTTGTTCTCTGCACTGGCTGCTGCCTCAGACTCACCCAGAAGATCATTCAAAGGCAGCCATTCCATCATCAGTGTGTTCTCACCAAGGTTATCAGGCTTCTGACCAGAGTATCTGCCAGGATCAGGAAACAAAACCCAAAGAAACCATCAGGAAAAGGAAAAGGTTTCTTCCACTCTCCTTCCCCCTTGACTTTGGAGAAGATGACAGGGGGGGAAAGGAAACATCTGATAACAGACAACAAGTGTGTGAAACATAATGTTGAAGGCCTCGAGTCTTTAAAGTTGACTGGCAAATTCCAACCAAGCCCTTCCTCTAGCTGTAGCTCATCTCTTTGGCTCCCCAGCCTAGAGACACCCCCCACCCCAGTCTCATAATTTTCTTTTCTGTGTTCACTTCACACCAACAGGACAGAACCCCACTCACAGAACTATCTGAGGTCAACACCAGAGAGGAATGCCTCCTGTCCCCATGGTGTATGACATTCTCCCTCAGAGCTGTGTGACAGATTGCAAGGAAAAGCAGGCTTTTAAAAATGCTACTTGTGTTAGAGTCAGGGAGTTCATGAGTTAATCTTCCCTGGAGAGAAGAGCTTATGTGATCGACTGCTCTACTAGCTCTCTGAATGGCCGGCATAAGCTGAGAGAGGAAATGAAACAGCTGATCTGGAGGGAAAAGACTGATTCGCCTTCTGAGACACTTTTGGTCTTGGTCTGAAATCTAATGTCTGGATCAGTAGCCAGAGGGTTTGGCTTCTGAGGGAAGAGACATTTGAGAGTCAGTGTTTTCTGACAAACAATAGTCAGAAAAGTACTTCTGCAAAGAGAAGAAGAGAAACCCCATTGTCTTAAATATATTAAAACTGCTCTGAGGGAGAATTCAGATTCTCAGGAAAGCTACAGTACAGCCTTATACACGCAATGGATATTGGAGAAGGATTTGGCAGAAGGTCTGGATAGTTTGAGTGAACTTCCAGACAAGCCAAATCGTAAAAGCAGTTATTGCTTCTTGGGGACAAGGAGAATAACTTCCTGCCAGTGAAAGGGGTTGGGAAGAGAACCCTGGTCTGCGATAAAGGGGAGAAGCTTAGACACCTCAGGAGTTAGTGAAAAGCTGTAATATCTAAAGGAAAACCTGGAACTCTGAAGGAAGAAATCTAGAAACATTCATAAGAACTGTGTTAATGCTGAAATATACTAAACAAAGTACCTTTCAATGAAAGAACTAGAAAACCTTGAAACAAAACTACAAATACACTCTCGAATGTTCTAAGAATTCAGCTCTATATATATATTAGAAAGTTTTTACCTCAGCAACCTCAAAACTTTGATTATTCCTATTATACATATATTTCCTGCCTATTTAATAAAATCTTTATTTTGTTTTTTAAAGTTAATTTGCCTCAAGTGCCATTTCACAAGGGTTTATAAAAGAGGACAGCTCCTGTGTTTCCCTCAAGTTCCTGTACTGGGTCCAGAGCCTAAACCAATATCTAAACAAAGGGTGGGACAGTGTCAGATTTATATCAATAGAGAAAATATACACGCCACTGGAAAGCAACTCAGTCACTGAGAGGAGCTGAAGATCTGGTGGGGAAAATCTGCCAGACAGCTGAGGAGATACAGGGGTCTGCCATAAGCTGTTATCCCATGATCTACGTATGTAATCCTTCCTTCCTAATGCCTCCCTCCTCTGCACACGCCCATCACTTCTCAGGAAGCATGGGATGCTTTTGCGCTAAATGGTGGGGAAGGGAGAATTCTTGGAGAGGATCTGCCATATTTATGGAAATCTTCATTCCTAGGAACTTGGGGGAGGGGGTGGAGAGAAAGGTATTCTGCGAGGTATTGCTGGCCTCACCACCACAATGGAGTGGAGATTAATTTTGAGTCAACATGCATAGGCTGCATATGAGAAGGGAATCTGGGAGCCGTTGTGCCTGATGCATGCACACAAAAGTTTGTCTCACCCCTCTTCCCTACCTTACCGGGCTGCCTTAACTCCCGTGCCCTCACCCCAAAGCAGGAAAAATCCTGGGTGGGAAATCTGCATGTTGTAGATTTTAACTTTAAATCACTGTTTAGGATACAGTCAGACTAAGTGTTTGTTTATAGGTTCCTGTGCAAATTTGCAAACATGCTTCCCCCCCCCAAACACACCCTGTTCTAGCTAATTTAGTTTTCAGCATTGAAGGCTTTACACCCAAAATAAATTCCAGAATAAGTGGAACAAAATTGTAACAATGGTTCTTTGGGAAGCTCAGATGACTCTTACATCATGGCTTCAGAGGACATAAATAAGGTTTAGTGAAGTCACGTGCTGGCCTATGCAACAGATTCTATATAAGCTATAACCTCTGACGCTCTTGGATTTGGAATTCAGTGAAATCTGATTTCCCCTTTTTTGGCAAAGTTCTGGTTAAGAAGCTTTGAAACGTAACCTTTTTCTTAAAGTCTTAGGTAAAAGGTAAAGGTTCCCTTGCTTTGAAACGTAACCTTTTTCTTAAAGTCTTAGGTAAAAGGTGAAGGTTCCCTTGGTTGAAAGCCAGTCGAATCCGACTCTAGGATTGCGGTGCACATCTCCGTTTCAGAGCCGAAGAGCCAGCGCTGTCCGAAGACGTTTCCATGGTCATGTGGCCGGCATGACTGAACACCAAGGCGCACGGAACGCTGTTCCCACCGCAGCGGTACCTATTTATCTACTTGCAATGTCTTGCTTTCGAACTGCTAGGTTGGCAGGAGCTGGAACTAGAGACGGGAGCTCACTCCGTCATGCGGCACCCGGGTCTTGAACTGCTGAACTACCGACCTTCCACAGCCTGCAGTTCAGCGTCTTAACCCCTTGAGCCACCACAGCTCCACAAAATCTTAGGTAGAATAGTAGAAAAGAGCAAGAGCCCAGTAGCACCTTAAAGACTAACAAAATTTGTGCTCACTTCTTCAGAGAGGTAGCGTAGGCATGATATGATGCTTGTATGGGACTGATTTCCGTGGGATGTGCCAGTGTTCTGCATATCCATTCAATACTGTTTTATTAATTCAAATCTAGAAAATCAGATTATTTCTAAATGAAAGTTTTAATTAAAATGGTAACGGTTTATTGGCTGAGGAATACAGGTGTTCACTTTAAACCTGGAACAAACAAGTAAATAGACTTCAATGTCTTCCTTACATATTTGAGGGCTGTGCCCTGCAAAGACTGAGTGCTCTAAGCAGCGCTGTGAGATAGTGATCGAAACACTGCTTTTAATTCCATCAAAAAGCCACGTGGCTGCTTAAAGCAATGCTCCCTCACAAGTGAGCTACAGGTACCACCACAGTGTGTGCTCGCTCAGCCCTGCTGCGGGAGCTGTCTGCCCCAGGATTCAGGACTCCATATTTTAGGAAAGCAGAACCCATTTCCATGCCATTTGCTTCTCTGCTTGCCTACCATTAGAGAGAAACAGACGCTGGCCTATCAGCTGCCAACAAAGATGCACTCTGGATGGTGAGGTTCCACCACGGCAAGCACAAATGCCATGCAGCTTATTGGAAAAGTAGATCTTACCTCCATACAACCCTCTGTGGAAGGCGAGCAAAAGCCCCAGCCATCTTTTCCACTAAGTCTCTTGGGAGCATGCGTATGCCAATGCCAAAGGAGACCACCACAACACCAGCATCCGCAGCTTCCATCCAGAGGTGCAGGTCCTGCACATAAAAATACATTCAGAGTTAAACATTAAAGCCACATTCAAGAACATCTGTGGGTCAGGCAAGAGAGGCTGGAAAGAAACCCATCTGTATAGCCTACAGTGAAAGTGTCCGGTAGGTTGAGCAGCATGGCGAAGCTGGACAGAATGGGAGAGTCTGCTGAGAACTCTGGCAAAGCAATGGGTCTCTCCCCATCAATGTGACTGCCAACCCTGCTAACACCAAACGCCATGATCAGGCCATAGTGAACTATGAAACTAGTAAATGCAGAAACCTTAGTGTGCACGCACACGAAAGCTTATACCTCGACCAGGTACCTTTCATCTTCTACCCAAAATACACAAACCAGGCAACCCAGGACATCCCATTTTCTCATGCAGGTATCTGGATACATGGACAACCTTCCAGAGAATACTATTTTAGCCACCATGGATGTGGAATCTCTGTATACCAACCTCCCATGCAAAGATGGAGTACAAGCCATAAGGAATATGATTTCGGACAACAACACAGCTGACTGTCAGACTCTTGAACAAACTTACTCTCAACAACACTCTCTGGATAGTGATTTGTTTATTGAGAGATGTGAATGTATCAAGCTAAGACCATCTGTGTCAGAACTTACTCTGTGGTGCAAGTTCTGGAATTATACATGATTCAAACAAGCCCCCCCTCCAGTAACCCATCCAAACAATCCATCCACTCAGCCCGCCTAAACCAAGCACGCTCCATTAGCCCTCCTCCCCAACCTGTGAACCAACAGGTACATTATCTACAACAGGCCTGCTAGCAAAGACAGGCATCAAAGGTTGTTTCACATACTTCCCATTTGGGAGGCCTCTTAAGAAAACAGTTACAAAGCAGCTAAGCAAAGCAGTTTCCCACACATGCCCTCTCACCATCCGCGTGCCCCCCCCATGCCCCAATACACAATCCATCTAGTGTGGTTTACAGCCACCATGGATGTGGAATCTCTGTATACCAACCTCCCATGCAAAGATGGATTACAAGCCATAAGGAATATGATTTCTGACAACAACACAACTGACTGTCAGACTCTTGAACAAACTTACTCTCAACAACACTCTCTGGATAGTGATTTGTTTATTGAGAGATGTGAATGTATCAAGCTAAGACCATCTGTATCAGAACTTATTGCTTGTTCAATGCTTGTGATGTTTATTGTTGTAAATGATTGTTTAAAAACAAATAAAAATATATTTAAAAAAAAAAGATGGAACCCACAAAACCCATGGCAAATGAGGCTCCGAGTTTGACATTCTGCCCCCCAAAAAACCCTCACCCCACTCCCACCCTGGTTTGTCTGGGTGACATTTATGAAAGGTGCAAACAAGCTTGGGGGCTTTAACAAGGTCTTGTCGCACCCATTCATTATGGCTCGGGTCAAAGTCTCGCCACTTAATGAGATAGTACAGGTGGCCCCATTTGATTTTAGAGTCTAAGACCTCATCCATGTCAGACCCCCAAAGCAGGAGAACAAACCCACGTTCCAAAGAAGTAAGATTTATTTCCAAAGCATGGTTGATCATGAACATACAGAGAATTGTCCAGAATGACTACAATACACCGGGGCAGTATGATATAGGAACTTCAAACTTGGTTAACCCAATGGGCTAAACTCCCTCGCAAGGGAGTTGATTAGAAAAGGCGCGAAGCAGCCTGAGAACTCCAACGGCTCATACCATAAACACAAGTTCAGTTCACACGGGAATCTAATTAAGCAAGGCAAGAAGACATAACACTCCATCGTCCACCTGTAGGAGAAGCTTGGCAGTTACAGTCGCATACCAGAAGAGAATAACACGGGGAGGGAGGGAAGAGGGACACATCCCAGAGAAATGGCAGCTCGCTGACATACTGCCCACCCGAAAATACCACTCACCCACCGTCTCCCGGCCTGGGCGGGAGATCTCCCGGTTTGCCCGGGAGACCTCCAGGGTTGCCCGGGAACTTCTTGTGAAACGCCCGAACAAGATAAGGGGCCCGAATATCCCCTTCTTCCACCCATTCGCGGTGCTGGGGACCGAAATCAACCCATTCCACAAGATACCACAGTTTACCACGTTTGAGCCGGGAATCAAGAATGTCAGAAATTTCATAATGTTCCTGGCCGTCCACCAAAACAGGAGGTGGTTGAACATTACTGTCCCTCCATTGACATTGACCAGTATCTTTTTTCAACAAACTGACATGGAATACAGAATGTAAAGATTGTAAGTTTT